GTGGCTCCGCTGAAAATCATCAGCTAATTTGAATCATTTTGACACCCCTAATTAGGGGCTGGCCTACTGGGGGTTGAATTCACATATATGTATCTGAATTTGTTCACTACACTTGGGAGAATTTCTGAAGTTTTTTTTACTGGAAACTCTAAAAACTAGGAGACGCCTCTGTCAATGTCAAAAATGCCATAAAAATTAAAATTTACCGAGCCACGTTATCACTGAGTAACATAGGCTATATTTTTAAATTTCTCGTGGAGTAAGACGCTAGCAAACGGCTGGTTTTATAAATTGAATAGAGACGTATATGTAGAAAACTAATTATAAGTAATATCAAGTCTCCAATGGCTAAATATTTAAAACTAACTGTTGCTTGCGACTTCGCGTGAAATTAAAAAAAAATTCCCTATGTTACTCACAGATAAATTACCTTTCTAATGGTGAAAGAATTTTTGAAATCGTCCCAGTAGTTTTGGAGTTAATTCCATACATACAAAAATACAAGTGCCACCCTTTATTAAAAGGGAAGGATTGCAACGAGAAGTGGATTTGATGGTGGAGGAGATGCATAGGAAGGGGAAATATCCTCTTTATGTGCGTCTCCTCCTCCGTTGGATAAACGTAGGTAACGCATCTGCAATTACGGATGTCTATGGGCAGCGGTCGCTTCGTCATTTTGACGGATTCAGGTGGCCGCTTGCTCGTTTGCCATCTTATGTTATAAAAAAAATCTTTCCTCTTTATATTAGTATTTAAAATTATCCATACAACTGAAATGCGTATTAAATGAAACAGGAAATTACATTAGATAAGGAATTTAAGTGTAAAAATATAGTAACCTTGCAATGTCCTTGATAATATTTCGTAAAAATAAACACATGCAAATTAAATAAATATTTGAAGATTACAATATTTACCGTGCTTACACCCTAATCATTTGTATTTTAAATATTGTAAAGATGAAAAAAATGTATTTTTGTATGTATTGAAATAACTCAAAAACTACTGGGGCAATTTTAATTCTTTCACCATTAAAAGGTACATTTTCAGTGAATACCATAAAGGACTTTAAAATTGAATCAAAAATGGTACATTCATCTCTTAAAATTATTTCTAAATATTAAATATTGTTAATCAAATATAGCAGCCAACAACAAATCCGTGATTTTACCGCAAAAGATAAACAACCGGAAATGCTGTCATCTTCATAAATATTCATATAAAACATTTACTGTAATGTCCGTTTGTATGTCTCCACTTTTAACATAAAAAAATAACTTATCACGTAAGAAAAAATAAAATAAACCTCCTATAACAACAACGAAGAAAACATTGATATTCCAAAAGGCAGCTAATCTTCAGTTTTAACTAAACATATAACTGTTACGTTTATAGAAACAATATCTTTTAACTGTACAGTTCTCTGTTAAGCTTGACACGATTTATATGAACAATCAGATTTTACAGTTAAAATACCTTTTTTTATTATATTATAGGGTGGCAAACGAGCAAGCGGCCACCTAAAACCGCTACAATGGCGAAACGACCGCTGCCCAGACATTCGCAATTGCAGATGCGTTGCCTACCCGTAGTCGACGGAGGAGACGGACATAAAGAGGATATTTCCCTTTCCTATGCGTCTCCTTCATCGTCAAATCCACTTTTCCTTCCCATCCCTTCCTCTTAAGAAAAGGGTAGCTTTACAAGGGACCAAAATTAGGCCTCCGGCACTACAGTCATGAGACGAAACAAGGAATTACTCCTACTTCTCGCCTGTCTGTGTGGTCGTGGTATTACTGGGGCGAGCCCTACAGTGCGAAGATGTTAAAGCGGGCACTACCACTGTTACTTTTAACCTATGCGGAATACAGAAAAAATCACATATAAATAAGATAGATGTAAAATAAACACATACGCGTGCAAAGACTAGCATACTAACAGACGATAAAACCAAACCGCATACAATTTAGTCTATAAATAACATTCGTCGAGTAAAGTTGTACATAATGTTACTCGAGTTATACGTAATAGCTGTTCTACTAAATATTGGTGGAAAACTTAACAATTACAATATAAAAAACCATCCGTTAGACATACGAGTTAAAAGAACTGCACAATTTGATGTTAAAATCGAAGAAAACGCTATTGGACCAAATATAATAAACAATATCGAAGACATTTATAAGGAAAATTTGAAAAATGAAATTAAATCCGAGGAAGAATCTAAAAATACCAACCAAGTTAACAACAAACTTAAGAAAAAAGAAAATTCCGGATATAAACAAAAGGTACCAGCATTAAATAATGAAATATACACGAATTATATTAAACTAAAGGAAGATAAAATTGAAAAACTCAATAAAAAAAACTTGAAAATCGAACAAAGCGACACTTCTGAATATAATCAAAAAGATGTCGTAAACGAAATTAAAACTGAAAACACAAATAAAAACAAGAAAGAACATTTAAATTTAGATAAATTGAATAAAGAAACTTCTAATTATCAAAAGAAATCGAGATATGAAATAATCAAATCACTATTCCATCGGAGAAAAAGAAACGTTAACGAGAGATTTAATAACCGTTATTATCCGAACTGGAACGCATCATTCATTATATATAATAATACAAGGTATTCCAAACCGTTTAACACGCTTAATTCAAACCAAATCACTAATTTAAATTATTACAACACAAATAAAACAAACAAACAAAATAATCATCAGACAAACATAAATTTTGGCGCTATAACTGATAGATTCCATACAAATAACGGTTATAACCAACAAAATAACATATACAACCAACCAGCAAATCCTAGTTATCAACCTATTAGAACAAATACACTAAATAATAATAAAAATACTGCTAATAATTACTATCCAATAAATAATTATAAATATCCATACAATAACCAATTTTACTATCCATATCAATACAATAATCCAACAAATTACTACAATCCAAACGAATATAACGGTAATAACGTTAACAGTTATGAAAATAACGTGTTAAATAGCGGTATAACGGTTACTTCGACGGAGAATGTTCCAGAAACTACAAGCACAACCGCACCGGTTATTTTGGAAAGCTGTGTATTGTGTCGGTCGATAGGGTGTCCGTCATTTTTTAAAAGAATAGGGTTTCTATGTGTTGATCCTAATAAAGTGAATTAACTTATAATGGTCTTTTATTTTTTCTAAACAGTTTATGCAAATTCAGTCAGATTTTGAACTAGCCATTCCAGTGCGGCTTCATCCGCATTTAATTATAAAAACATTACTTTTGACCGACTTCCCAAAAGAAGGAGGTACTCAAGTCGTCTGTATGTTTTTTTAATTTCTATTTTTTATGTGTGTTATGGCATTCAGACAGATTTTGATAATTCTTTTTTTATCCGAAAGGTAATGCAGGTGGGTCCCATATTTATGTTTGATTTTTGGAGTCATAATGTTTATATATGTCAAATTCTTAATTGCAAATGTCAAAATTATTGTTACCATAATAACCTTAATGTTGGCAGCTTGTAGTTTATGGTCCCTTTCCCACATGAAGTCATCGCGAAATAGTTTATAATTAGTAAAATAATAAGAGGTATTCAACTAACTTGGTGGTCGCAACTGTTGTGGATGTTCAACAAGATTGGTGATGGCGTCTTCATTTAAATTTTCAACAATATCATCATCACCTACATTACAAGCGTCCACTCTTTGTATGTCCGTTCTACTGTCCCCTGTAGGAGCACTTCTCTTTCTCTTCTCTTCTCTCTCTTCTGGAGTCATCAGGATTACACTATCCCACCTAGAAATAGAATATTTATACACTTTCTTTAGATAATCACATATATCATACTAATATTATAAATGCGAAAGTTTAGATGGATGTTTGTTAGTGTTTGTACCAAAAATGGCTGACCGGATTTCAATGAAATTTGGTATAGATGTAGACAATAATCTGGAAGAACACTTAGGCTATAGTCTAAATAATTTAGATTAGTTTGATAAATGACGCATATGAAGTATCGAATTCAATTTGTATGAAGGCAAATGCCGTACTTAATAGACAGGTATCGCAGTGACGAAACAAACTTGCAGCGAACTATTATGAACTATCGATATTCGGTTTAAATAATTATCGAACTCAACTAAAATTATTATTTTGTTATTAACTAATTTAGAGGACAATTCTAGTATTGATTATAGTGTAGAGAACCGATGACAGAAATAATAGTGAAATCCATTTCGATTACGTACGGCTGTAGTAGTAATAAACATTTATTTAGTCTCATTATTTGTTATGGTCATTATTAATTTGAGAAAACAGTGTTTTTTTAATTCATAAGTTATAACTATGAATCTATCGATTCCAACTTCTATGAGAGTAAAAATCGAAAATCGATAAGGTTTATGATTTTACACAACACATCCTTACTAAATTTGAAGTTTATTGTCAAACTAATCTAAATTATTTAGACACACTATACTTGCATTTTTTTCCCGCGCGGACGAAGTCACGAGCGAAAGCTAGTTTTTGAATTCATTAATACAAAGCCCTACACATACATGCTTTATCTTTCAAGCTATTAAGTGGGTAAATAAATTGGATAAAGCCCTCATGTGGAAAAGGGACAAAAACTAAAAGCTGATATCAGTTGAGTGACATAGGCTATATTTTTACTAATTATTTAGTACTAGCTTTTGCCCGCGACTTCGTCCGCGTGAATTACAAAAAGTGACTAGCCTATGTATTCTTCCAGACTATCCTTTACGTCTGTACTAAATTTCATCAAGATCCGTTTCTTCGTTTAGGCTACAAACTCTAACAAACATCCATCTAAACTTTTTTTTTCATAATATAATGTGGCAAAATCGCAAGCGGCCTGAATCCACCGAAATGTAAAGTGACCGCTGCACATACATCCGCAATTGCAGCGCTGCCTACCCTTCATTGACGGAGACGCACATAAAGAGGACATTTCCCTTTCATATGCGTCTCCACGGTCAAATACAGTTTTCCTTCCCATCCTTTCCACTTAAGAAAAGGGACTTAAATTAGGCCTCCAGCACACTCATCAGACTGTACACGGAATTGCTTCCACTTGACGCCTGTCTGTGGTCGTGGTATTGAAAGAAAGAAAGAAAGAAAGAAAGAAAGAAAGAAAGAAAGAAAGAAATGACATTTAATCCTTAGCAACAACACAATCAGAAGTAATAACAGACAAACAAACATGACGTAGAAACTAAGTAGGAGAAAAAAAAAATGTAACTAAATAAAAGATTATTAAGAGTATTGGTGGTGAGCCCTGCAGTGCTAACATGTTAAAGCACTACCACTGTTAACTTTCGCATTTATAATACTTAAGTATATATAATAACATATAAATACGTACCATTCAATATCAGGCAGACGGTCGCTATCAGGAGTATCAGCAGCGAGCAGAGCTAACTTAGTTGCTGAAGATATGCCTGTTTTCCGAGCTATCTGACTTATCTCGTTTTGCAATTTCTCTAATTGAGCCTAGAAAATACACCTTATACAATCATCATCACCAGCTCACTACGTCCCCACCGAGGGGCTCGGAGCCTACCCTAATAAGGGGTGACTAGGCCATAGTCAACTGGCCAAGTGCGGGTTGACTTCACACATATCTTTGAATTTCTTCACCGATATGCATCACACTTTCCTTCATCGTAAGAACGTCGGGTAAATGGGGATGTTTCCTAATGTTACAAATCCAAATAAAGTTATGTTTAATATTTTAAAGACAGCATTTTATAACCTATAATAACATTTAGAGACCTTGAATGTTTGTCTCAAATTAAATATAAATTAAAAACGTTGCAATATTTTTTACCCTCCATTACTCGATCTCAAACACCAATGACGTCACTTTCTCGCATATAACATGGCAGTGTGACCAACTTCAGTGAATGTCAGTGCATTTTGTAGTTATATATTTTTTTAAATGATTATAAGAATTGAGTTTGCGTGTGTTATATTATGAGGACTCCATTATTAAGTGTTTTTATATTTACGACATATTTTACGAGCAATTTTTCGATTAATATGACGAAAAAAATAGTAAAAGTTATTTGAGTAGCTAATATTCAAATTTGACAGACCGCGACGCGAGGTTTGTAAGCAAGAAAGTGACGTCATGAGGCGTTTTCGCGGTCTTTGGAGAAGTTGTTTTTAGTTAAGTGTTTTTGTAATGAAATGTTGCGTATATGATTTTATTATATATTTTTTTCATATTCAGATACGGTTTATCTACATAATAAAAGCAATTCCAAAAATTAGGAAACATCCCCATTATGTACATATGAAAATTCGAAAAATCTAAAATCACATTGGTACAGGATTCGAACCCAAGATCTGTAGACAAGTCAAGTGTTCAAACCACTGAGCCACCGACGCTCTGATAATATCTATTCAAATAATGATAAAGATCAAATTAGAATATTAAGTTTATGAGTGTTAGAAATTTGGTCCTTCGAGCAGGGAAATTAGTACCAAATTGTGCTTTTAATTCACGAAACATTTTAAATCGTGTAAACTACTATAAAATAATCGTTTAACTAAGTTTATTTTCGAACTGTGTAAATTAAAGTAACTAGTGGTGACGTCATTTTAAAAAAAGATAGATATTATTTGTTAATATTAATCAAATTAGATCACCCTTAAATCTATCAAAACAATGGTCCTTCGAGCCGACCATGCATCTTTATTTAATGTCCCTTAGGGCTAAATACATTATTCTATTCATAACGCCATACATGTCGCAGAGAATAGCACAAAATGGAGAAACGCCCTTCGAGAGAGTGCCAAGGAGAGTGGTCGTGGACCCTCAGGAATGAGGAAACGATCCGGAGAGAGAGAGGGCTAAATACTGGAATTTTAACTTAGCTTCTTAAGCGTTACAATCTGACGGACAAGATATTAATAGAATTTGGAGTTTAAGGGCCTGTTGCACTAAATTGTAAATTGTCTGCTAACAATTCAAAATGTAAAATGTGATGATAATATCGGCTTTTATTCCTTCTGACAGTGACATTAAGCTATCTGAGCCTCTATCAGCCAGATGTGGGACTGGCTCCAATTTCTATCATTTACCTTCATCCGCAGTCGTTCAGCGAGTTGCCGGAACTTGCCGGGCTCGTTGAAGCGCAGGGCGCGCCGCGTGCGCACCGCTGGCTTGCTGTCCACGCGCTCGTCGTACCACGCCGCGCTGGCCGCTGGCACGCTGGACACCGCGCCACTGGACAACTGCGCTTTGAACTCCTCGCGACGTAACGCACGGATATTTGCCTGGAATTTATATATACTAATATTATCTTCCTGTTTATTCTACTTCTGCAGGCAACAGGTTTTCTTCCTCCATAAATTTTGTACAACTCAGTCACTCCCTTCTTGATTTCGACAGTGGTAGTGCCCTCTTTAACATGTTAGCACTGCAGGGCTCGCCCCAGCAATACCACGACCACACAGACAGGCGTCAAGTGGAAGCAATTCCGCGTTTCATTTGACGAGTGTGGTGCCGGAGGCCTAATTTTAGTCTCTTTCTCTTTACCACCCTTAAGAGGAAAGTATGGGAAGGAAAAGTGTATTTGACGGTGGAGAAGCATAGGAAGGGGAAATGTCCTCTTTATGTCCATCTCCGTCAATGAAGGGTAGGCAGCGCTGCAATTGCGGATATCTATGCGCAGCGGTCGCTTTCCATTTCGGTGGATTCAGGGTGCTTGCGAGTTTGCCATCTTATATAATAAAAAACACATTCCATCTCTTTCTACTTACTATACTAATATCGTAAAACCTAGATATAAATATAGATTTGGTGAAAAAAAATTCATGCTCGAAGGACCATATTTACCTTAAGGGTGGGAGCGACGTGTGTGAGTTGCACCCTCTTGCCGCTGGTGTCGACGGTGCGCCCCTCGCGGTCCAAGATAAGGGGCGCAGGCCCCGAATTACCTGCCGCCGCTAGGGCTCCGCCTGGAGACACACAAGTACAGTTTATAGACACATCTATACTATTTTTTTTTTAAATAAGGTGGCAAAAGAGCAAGCGGCCGCCTGAAATCACCAAAATGGCGAAGCGACCGCTGCCCATAGACATCCACAATTGAAGATGCGTTGCCTACCCTTATACGACGGAGGAGGAGACGCACATAAAGAAGATATTTCCCCTTCCTGTGCATCTTCTCCACCGTCAAATCCACTTCCTCTTTAATTTTCTCGTTTTTATTGTTTTTGATTTTTTAAAGGCAAAATCGGGAGCAACAGTTAGTATATTATAATTATGTACTGTGTTTGATAAAAAAGATTGGGTGTCGCCAGAATACGCAAAGGGAGGTTTACCAGTCTAGATAATAGAAAATTGTAAACCCCCCTCCCCCCCCCCGACCCTTCAGATCGAGGTATACCACGATTTGTGAGAAAGCGTAGACAACGTATCTGTTTTTAAAAATATCTATAAACACTATATTGAGAAATTGTTTAATTAAAAATTCAATATTGTTAGAAATTTGAATATAATATACCTGCCAACTTCCTCTGTATCCTGGCTTGTAATTCAGCAATCTTCCTCTGCTTCTCCAACTCCTCTTGACTCAAATGGGCAACAGCTGTCAAACATCATATTAATATTGTAAACTAGCTTTCACCCGTGACTTCGCCAGCGTGGAATTAAAAAAAAATGTGTAGCCTATGTATTTTTCCAGACTACCCTCTACATCTATGACGAATTTCATCAAAATCCGTTCAATTTTTTTAGGCTACAAACTCTAACAAACATCCATCCATCTAAACTTTCGCATTTATAATATTAGTATAAAGTATGATCTGAAAATTTAGATATATGTTAGAGTTAAATTCATCATAGACTAACTGTTCTCCTACGGCTTCATCTGCATCAAATTATGAAAATTTCATTTTATTGTTTACATTTGTCAAATTATCAATAGCAAATGTCAAAATGACATGACATAATCTTGGCAATCTTGCTTCCTTCATGTTGGCAACGACTTATGGTCTCTTTTCCACATTAGTGTTTTTATCCATAATATTTACCCCCTTAGTTTAATAGTGTGAAAATATAGTCTAAAGCATGACGTAAGTGTAGGGCTTTTTATTAAAAAAAGATTTATTCAAAAATAAGCTGTAATTGCTGTCATCTTAGGCAACAAAGAAGTGTGTGTTTACGCTTTATTATAATAGTATAGATGTAGAGGATAATCTGGCACATAGGATACTTACTTTTGTTTTTAATAACAGGCGGACGAAGTCGTGGGCAAAAGCTAGTAATTACAAATGCGAAAATTTAGATAAATGTCGTAGCCAAAACTGCATATAACCATATTAGTGGTACCAAAAATCAGCTAACAAGCTACCGGGCTTAGATATTTGGTATCTTGCATCGGTAGATTACTACTAAGTTAATACTCTTAGTAACAGGTTGAAAATAGTGGCAAAAGTAGGTTTGGAACTTTAAAATTTCACGCGGACGAAGTCGCGGGCAACAGCTAGTGCTAAACACAATAACACTACTAAGCAATATATACGCTAACACAGTTTGATTAGAAATAACTCACATGGTCTGGAATACAACACAGGTTTAATAACACTCGGGGGTGGTATCGCATTATTCTGCTGCATTTGGACCTTCAGCTGCTGTGCGGCCGCCACCGCCGCGTTCACACTCGGTCTCTGCTCACCCTTCATCGCTAACAAGGCGCGCTTACGCTCTTCTATCTCCTTCTGCGCGTTTGCCATCATCAACTGGAATAGACAGGTTATATAACATACTTTGCCTGCATGAAATTAAAAAATATAGCCTAGGAGCTTTCGCTCGCGACTCTGTCCGCGTAGGATTAAAAAAAAACAAAAGTGTGTAGCCTATGTGTTCTTCCGGACTATCCTCTACATCTATATCAAATTTTATCAAAATCCGTTCAGTCGTTTAGGCTACAAACTCTAACATCCATCCATCCATCTAAACTTTCGAATTTATAATATTAGTATGAAGCATGATGTTACTCACATACAAATTACCTTTCTAACGGTGAAAGAATTTTTAAAATCCGACCAGTAGTTTTTGAATTATTTCAATAAATATAAAAATAGAAGTTTTTTCTTTATATTAATACTAGCTTTCGCGACTCCGTCCGCGTGGAATTAAAATAAAACAAAACTGAGTGCCCTATGTGTTCTTCCAGACTATCCGATACGTCTATGCCAAATTTCATTAAAATCCGTTCAGTTTTTTAGGCTACAAACTCTAACAAACATCCATCCATCTAAACTTTCGTATTTATAATATTAGTATGAATGAAGTATGAAAGATTTGAAAAGATTATATTTTTGGATTTTTGTACTTATTGAAATAACACCAAAACTATCGGGGCAATTATATAAATTCTTTCACCATTAGAAAGGTAACTTATCTGAGTAACATAGGCTATATTATGTATTATTTCTTAGTTTCACGCAGGCGAAGTCGCGAACAGCGCGCTAGTATTATAATAAAGCAAAAATACAATACTACATGCTGGATGCATGGATGTCAGCAATCACATAATATTTTTGAATAATTAACTCTCTTTAATAAAAACCCCTACATTTACATGCTTTAGGCTATATATTTTCATGCTATTAAACATAGGAGTTTGATAAAATACAGTTTTTTATAATGTTGCGGATGTAATAGCAAGGGAGTTAGTTTTAAGTAATATAAATTAAAAATACCTTAATTTTATCCGCACTGAGTCCTGCCATCTTCGATCCAACCGTCTCCCCTTCAGGTAGAATGATTGGCAACTCCATTCCATTACCAACTAACATCTCATTGTCTTTCTCTTCTCTTTCCTTCTCACTCTTAGACTCACGCTTCTCTTCTTTGATCTCTTTCTCATCATGCCTTGACCTGGAAAATGTAGATTTACAAGTAATTAATGCTTATGTAGAAACAAATTGAATTTTTATGAAAGATAAGTGGTAGTGCTCGCTTTAACATCTTAGCACTGCAGGGCTATCACACCCAGTGTAATACCACAACCACACAAGACAGGCATAAAATGGAAGCAATTCCATGTTTCGTCTGATGAGTGTGGTTCCGAAGGCCTCATTTAAGTCCCTATCTCTTTACCTCCCTTTTCTTATAAGGAGAGGATGCGAAGGGGAAGTGAATTTGACGGTGGAGATGCATAGGAAGGGGAAATATCCTTTTTATGTGCGTCCTTCGTTGTTTAAGGGTAGGCAATGCATATGCAATTGAGGATGTCTATGGGTAGCGGTCTACCTCTAACGGTGTACACTCATAACTAATGTTCTCCTTGTAACATGCAATTCAGCCCTCCTCATAACATGCCCCCATGCTAACCTTATACTCCTTACCTTCATTACCATTAAGGCTACTCTCAAACTTGAACTCACATAACTAATACTTAATTTTATTATTGGTTATTACCTTTTAGATTCCCTGTCTTTATCACTTGATTCATATTTTCTCTTTGATGTCTTAGGATTGGATATTAGTTCCTGTGCCAAAGCCAGCACTTTATCTGCTAACTTATTGGCTTTCTTTGAATCAATATGAGATGAGATTTTGTCTATGATCTTCCTCCGTTCATAGCTGAAAAAGATATTATCTTAATATACTTTATGGTTTATCTGTAAGTCTGATATTAAATATAGAATTAACGTTATTGTAAATAACTAAATTAAAGCTACTATGATATAATTTTGACGTATTTTCGTCGTAAACGATATAGAATTATAGACTTTAAATAGCTCATGATAAAACTTAGATTCGAATACCCATTGGTCAAGCAAGACGCCACTGTTGATAATAATGAACTATCAGATTTTCCAATTGTCCGGTAAATCGCACGATCTAACGACGAGCGCAAGTCGTCTACTTCCCGTCTAGATAGCTGCAACGCCATCTCTCCAACAATTACCAAGATTTAAGTATAATTTGTTAATTTTGAGGTTATACTGCAGGTTCCACAATAAATCACAAATCGCACAATCACAGTGATGGAACCCTCGATTTAACCAGATCGATTACTGCTGTTGCTTCATTTCACAATGATTATGTATTTTTAAATATGTTTTGTAAATATAAGCGACATTTGTCGTTTGACGTAAGTTATAGACAATAGGAATTTACTCCACACAAACTTTATAAATTTGACATAAGCGAAAGTTGCAGCTACATCTATTGAACTACCCTGATCCCCATTGAAGGTTGAATGAAATTAGTTCCTCAAAATGACATAGATGTCACTACATGGTATAATCTATTTGTGCCAATATCAACATTTAAGTTTTTATTTTTTAATTATTAAGTTAAAATAGTCAACAAGACATTGACACTCTTACGATGGATGGATGGATGTTTATTAGCGTTTGTAGCCTAAACGGTTGAAATTTGGCACAGGTTTAGAGCATAGTCTGGAAGAACACATAGGCTAATATTTATCCCGGCAATAGTTACGGTTCCAGTGGTATTCATTAATTTAATTTTTTAATGTTAACTCGATCATACTGCAACGGTTTAACCTATCTTACTGAAATTTGGCACAGATATAAAACAAAGTCTGGAGTATGGAATAAGGTTCATCTCCGAGAAATGTCCAGTTCCCTAGGGATACGTAGCTTTTTGTTATTTATATAGTTCGTATGTTTTATATTACCACGGAGACGAAGTCGCTTGCAAAAATTAGTATTTATACAAAAATGTAATAAAATGGTATAAATTGATGGTTTTGGTCCATCTGGAATATAAGGCTTTGTGTATCTCGTGTGTGATTTCCTTCTGACTTCTGCGATTTCAAAGTTTTGTGAGAAAAAAGTACGCACGATATGGTACGTACGTTACGTTAGGTCTGTTTAAGTATTGTGCGGAAAGACGCTTATTTAATGTGCGATATGGACACTTTTCATATTTAAGTTTTTGTGTGAAAGTTGTTGTTTTTTTAACTCCACCTTGTTCCCACGCAGGTAATATAACAACGATGTGTAAAGTGCGGCAGTGTCTTAAATCATTTTAATTTCGAAGGGCATAATATATCAAAAATTCATTACGAGAATAAAACGATTGATGAACTATCGTACAGGCTAAGTATAGACGAGGTAAAATTGATACGGATATTGTAAATATTTAGTGTATGGGGTTGAAATATAGATGGCGCTAGCTGCTTTGTTAACAAATAATCTATGACACCGCATAATATACTGTCCTTTTTTTTTCTATGTTTATAGTACTCTTTGGGTACAATATACGGACTGGAGTTTGTTTGGCTTGTTGTTGAGCTTGAGATTTAATTAATTTTGAGTGAATATAATGCCAGCCACATAATTATAATACTATCTATATCTATCTATTCTCAGTAATCTTTAAT